ATGCCATAGAACGCACGTCCTTTATACCCATATATACTTATATAGAAATATTATTTTTCAAGATCTAATTAGTTACTCTGGTTTCTTCTACTATTGGGTCGCCCATGAAAGATGCTTTGTTTATAAAAAAGAAAAAGAGAAACTATAGTGTTTTTTGTTCCTAAATAAATAGCGTGCATCTAGATAATTCTCAATATATACGTACATGGAGAGAGTAATTAGAACAACTAACAAGAGTTGGTCCAGTTAGTAAGGAATCGGCTCATAACCCACAAAATCAAAAATTTGAATCCTGCTAACCAATGTCTGGTTGCCATCGTGGTCACCATCATCCTCACGATTGCCATTGTCCTTATTGCCCTCTCTATGGTCTTCTCCATTACCAAGGTCAGCATGATTTAAGGAATGATGCAAATGGATTTTTGTGCTGCTACCTCCAATGGTGGAAGCCATTCCATGATCCCCGAAGTGAACCAAACATATGATTTACAAAGATTCCATTTAAATTTTCATTCTCACACCCTCACTTCTAATGAACCAAAAAGGACATGACTTCTTTCAAACTGATCATCAAAGAGAAATTTATTTATTTACTTTTAAAGCAGCGAGGCTCCAAAACCCTGAGTCCTTCTCATTTATTTTGATTTAGGGCACCGTTTTAGTCGGATTTTTTGGAATCCAGATTCCCAATCATCTTTATTATCATGGACCATGTCTTGCATGCTTGGCTGCCAATTTTGGCAAGAATCATAATTCTACCGAAGGTTAATTTCTCTATTTTCATGGATTTATTAATACCCATCTAACATCTAATCATCAATAAGAATCTCTCCACTAGAATTGGTCATATGACCAAGACGCGCTTATTGAAGTCTCACATCTAAAATCTCTCACTTCTATTTATAAAATCAAATATAACAAAAGAAAATAGAGAGTTAAAGAGTTATTTTTGCCTTTAAGTATTTGTAAAAGAGTTATGAGTATCCAAATCCTTTTTATTACTCAATATCACTCCAAAATTATTTTTTTACAAAAAGGGAGCAATTTCACTTTTTTTAATTAAAAAAATTAATGTTAATGGTTAAGATGCCATATTTGCCACATGCTTGGCATTGAGGTCATCCATCGTGTTATGCAGCATTATAGTTAGAATCAAAACTATTCATCCTTTTAATTAAGTCTTATATTTAGAAATAAATCCTACGCGTTCGTTCACATGCATAATAGACTATTTGGTCCATGGGGGAAGCATTAAAAGAGAGAATATCTTATATCTCCCCACTAATTAGAAAGCACGTCGTGTTACTTTGGAAGCCTGTAATTCCGAATCCAAATTATTGACCAGAGCCGCCGCCCGACGAATAGCCGGAGGGCAGCATCCATTAACTGCGAAACTAACAATTTCACTTCTTCTTTTGGATTTTTTCCAGACCCACTTTGCTTGGTTCAAGTAATGGGATGCTTATTCCTTCTGAGTTGAATATTTTGTGAAAATAATTTAAAGATATGAGGACTTATATTTAGAGACAAAGCGAATAATTTTCAAAAGATAGTTAATATTATCAAATATAAACTTCCCTTTTTTTGTCACAAAAAGTTCAGATAAAAAATGACTTCACTATTTCCTAGTTCTATTTATAAAGTACAGGGAAAAAGTTTTTCTTTGTCCCATTTAGAAGTTATATTATTAAATTTTTAACATGAATATACTATTTTACTTTTTATTTATTTATTATGTACATTGTTATTTTTCTTGAAAAATGTATATATTAAATTGGGTTAAAATTAGAAAGTTATTAATTCTTAGTATAGAGTTAATGAGTTTTAAGATTATTCCCAATTTCAATAAAATATGGTCCAAGTAATTTATAAATAAGATTGGGTGAATTAAGTTTAATCAGGCCTATTCATTCAATGTGAATATTTATGGAGATTCTTACAAATACCTCCCAAGCCCCAACAACATTCTCAAATTTAGATGGACATTCTTATGGAAATATAAATCAAATTCCTATCAACTATAGAAATATTACTCCCTTACAAGTTTCAAATAACTAATTTACGAATAATCAACTATTAGTTAAAAGTAATAAGTACATTAGAAATATATATTTTTTCAAATATATTCTTGTAATAATTTAAACAAAGATAAAAGAAAATATGTTGAAAAATGTGATAAGACAGAACGTGGGAAAGGAAAGATAATAAATAACTAAGGGCACAATCGAAAAAAATACATTAAATATTAATATAAAATCAAATTAAAACTTACTCTCTCTGTTCCTTATTATAAGAAACAATTGTAAAACTCATCAAAAAAAAAAGAAACAATTGTAAAGTATATCATGTTCTTTATTATAAGAGACACTTATAGGTTGTCTCAAATTTTGTGTGTTGATTTTCTATTTTATCCCTATTTAATTACTCATATTACTCACATAATTGTATTTAATTCCCATTCATTCTCTCTCCCACACATTATCTCTCTTTCACATAAATGAGGGTATTGTTGGCAAAAATGTTACACTCTTTACATATTTATTGCACCTAACTAATTTTAACTAATTTTTTGAATAATGTGATTTAGTTAATTGTATCTTATAAAACAGAACGGAGGGAGTATAAAATAAACCACATTTTTTTTCTAAATTTAAAACTTATAAATAATATCAGAGGGAGTATAGATTTGTAATTAATATGCTTTCTTTGTTCAATTATTTACATTGCCAACATCGAGAAGGTCAAATGAGTGGTTCTAATCCTTCTCACACGCACAAACAAGAGTTAGCAGATTCAAATCAACCACTAATATTGTGGGTCTCCGGTCTCCCCATCGAATTTTTAGTTTTGGCTTTTGTGTGGTTTGTGTCGATGAGCGTGGTGCAAGTTGGACTAATAATAATATTATTATTATTTCCAATTCAACCACATCTTTCTTGAGGTTCATATTTCCAACACAAATTAAAGTCGCCAATGCCTTGCTCCTACTTGCTGGTCAAAAAAACATAAAAGCCTCGGTCCCACTTTAATTACATTGCTTACATATGGAATGACATTCAGATATTCTTAATTACTATTATTACTGAGCTCTTTTGATCCAATGTGAGAAAAAAAGTTCCACTCTGACCCACTGATGACTATTATTTCAATTTGTCCACGTTAATTTGTTGGGTGAATTGTGTATCTTACAACAAACAAATGTAATTACTATATCTAATCTGCCGTGTAAGAGTTACTTAGCTAATTTAAATAGATTAAAAAAATTAATTGAATTAGTTATTTATAATAAATATAGGTTGGTTCTTTTTAAAGCATCATTTTTAATCATGAGTACACTTGGATGTAAATTCTCTAAATATGTGTAATCAACAGGAATATTTTAAAAATAAACTGCAAATTGAGAGATGAAGTGGATTGATGTCTTATATTTAGAACTAAATTTAGTCATTAGCTAACTTTTATATTAAAAATTGAAGGTAGTATTATAAAGTGCGACAACGACCAATTAGCATACAATAACAAGTGATGCATAGAGATACTGAGGACAAAGGATAAATTTCTCATAACCAAATTTGTTTCATACTCAAAAGCTAAGAATTGAACCTCAGTTGATATGGTTAATAACCTCATTAGTCAAATAATACTTAAAGATTTATGGTTGCATATTGTTAGAAAGAAGAAGTGTAATGTGTTGAGAAGAAAATTTAGAATGATTATAAATAAATTTAATACATTTGATTGATGAATCAAGAGCCTCATCAAGGGAAATTGTACTCAAATTCAACGTGTTTGAATTGCTACTTGAAATTAGAGGGAATATTGTGTAGAGTGCAAATTAATAAATGGCCATTCAATGAATATACCAAGTTACTATTATAGCTATATTTGATTTGATGGCAACCCAAAGGTGTTTCTTGAAGGTCGAAATTCCCTCCTTGTCCTTCACCCCATAAGCTGTCTTTTTTGGTTAGGTTATGTATGCCATAGGCAGCAACCATTCCACTTTTGTCGCAAGATATAATAATTATAAAGCTAAATGTCCTCATTCAATTATTCTCTTGCACTATTAGTTATGGCCTCCGGCTAAGCAATGTGCACGATTAAGGTATTGTAATAAATTATTAATTGTTAGGAGCCTTATAATTTATTGGCGTGAACTTTTTTTCAATAGATTTTAAAAATTTTCACTCAAAAACTTTTTTTCTTTATTTTTACCCCACTGTCAAGTCATTTATTCTCTCCATTCGTCACATGCACACATCAGCTCTCTCGCTTACTCTCATTTTATAAATAAGGATACTTTTTTTTTAAAAAAAAAAAACGTTTTTACACCCATATTGCCTATAGTTAATTTTAATTAAATTTTTAATCTACTTAATTTAGTTTTATCTTATACTAATATGACATGAGGGCAAAGTATGGCTTATTTCTTTCTTTTGTATGAAAAATTTTAGATGAGTTGGATTAGGGTTATTAGGATTAAGGCATGCATCTAAGCTCAAAGAGTGTTTACGCAAGTATTTATAGATAACCCACCAATAAGATTCTTAAATTAGCAGCAGGATTTAAACTCATGATATTATATGTTATGAATCGATTCATTGTCAACTGAATCAACTCTTATTAGAAGTATGGCTTATTTCTTTATTTGTTTTTTTGGGTACAAGTATGGCTTATTTCTAATTCTAAATTCTATTCTAATGCAATGCAAAGCCTTTTTGGTTTGCTTCTAAAACTCTGACGCAATGCTGGCCCAAATAAGAGAGGGAGGTGGTAATTTATTTTAGGCTTATTGTGGCCTAATAAAGGTTTTGGCACATTGCTAATTGAGAACGGGCCTCGGATTGGACGAGTCAATCTCTTTTTCGCCACAGATTGGGTGAGTCAAATTTCAGCCCATTACAATTATAAAATAAAAAAAAGAAAGCGAAACTTCTGGAGCCAACAAAATTTACAAAATAAAAATAGGCACGCAGCAACGGTAACGCTCGGACCAGCCGGAGCCAGAACGCAGGAGGTCGAGCGCACACTATGATTATCCCCGTTCGTTGTTTTACCTGCGGAAAGGTACTTCTTTTCTTCTTGACACTTGTTAACTCCATGCCCAAACAATTTTTTTGGGGTCAAATTCTACTAGGGCAGAAAAGCTGGCGCCTTTCGAGGTTTTGAGATGCAGGGTTTAGGGTTTTTTTAAAAGTATTTAATGCCCCTTTTGATTGTGTTCTTCTAGGTGATTGGAAACAAATGGGACACGTATCTGGACCTTCTGCAGGCTGACTACAGCGAAGGGTCTGTAATTTATGCCTCTCCCATTTCCGATATCTCTGTTCCCCCCCCCCCCCCCATGGAGGAGTTAACAGAGTTCCGTATTGTAGTTTCTTTTTGCTTCTATTGGTGCAAGGTCTTAATTTGGTATTGTACATGATCGTCATTGAGTCTGAGTAGCTATTATGATGGCTGATATCTGTTCAGGGCTTAGCAGCTTTTATTCACTTTAATTGGCTCTGCTTGTGTTTGTGTGGGAGAAAAAAGAGAAGGGCTAAGAACTTGTCGTGATAGCCAAGCTGCTGTTAAACAATCTAATATCCATTATCTGAAACAAAATAGTTATACTTTCTGGTTTATAGCTTTTCATTTTACATATTGAATTCAATTGTGGTTGGCATGCTGTAGCGAACAAATGGGCATCCATTACAAGTTTCATTTTTAGTGCTGTCTGTCTTTAAGTGCACTAGTGGCAATATATCAGGTGGATGAGCATGATGCTAAAGCTCATTTATTTCGGGCGTGTATGTAGAAAGGAAGAGAGTGGGGGGGATCTTAGGAACATGTTTGGTATTATTTGCTTGTTGTGAATCATAAGTCACTGGTATGGTCCCATGCTTATTTCTCTAAACTCTGGCTACTTTATCATAAAATATGTATTCTTCGCCCTTGAAATCTTTGTTCAACTGGCCAGCATACCATTTATGGGTGCAACTGCAACATGCCTGATTTAGCTGCAAATATAGGATTTTGGAGTTTTTTTGTATTTTTTAGATGTGGACCTAGGCTCAGCGTGATGCAGCTTATTTTAAAGTATTAAAAGTGATGTATCTTGTCAAGAATCTACATGTTGGCATTTGAAGAAAACCATTCAAAATCTGATTACTGACTACCTCATTTAAAATCATGTTCCCCTGCTTCATCAGACTGTCCCTGTAAATTTGATATGAATATTAATTTAGGTAGTTATATAAGGCAGTGATAGTGAATAATACATCTAAAAAAGTTAGTTATTGATGGAGTTCCATAGAATCATGCGGTCCGTGTAGGTGTGGCTAAGATCTCGCTTGATGGGATAAGACTGCTTGTTGTATATGGGTTACTAACATCTAATGATGGAATGTAGTGATGCTCTGGATGCTTTGGGGTTGGTTAGATATTGCTGTAGAAGAATGCTTATGACCCATGTTGACCTCATTGAGAAGCTTTTGAACTACAACTGTAAGCTCTATCTCCCCTTTTTTTAAGTCTTTGTTTCAAAGGTTTTTATTCACTCAATTAGCAATGTTGGTATCTTTGCTTGCAGCTCTGGAGAAATCTGAGCCCAGTTAAGAAAGCATATGGAATCATGGATGAACCTGATGTTGTCTGTGCTTCTTTACGTCAAGTAATGTGCAATGAATGTTGTCGCTTTTGTTTTCTTCTTCAAATTGTTCAGTGTCTGGTCAGGTAGGTTTAGGAGTAGGATTGGTCAGGTCATTTGTGTAATATAAAAGCTATCTTAGAAGACAAATACTATGGTAATATGAGGTATACTATGGTACTATTTATCAGTGTGATTTGAATATGTCTCTGATATTAGTTAATGTACTATGTATAATGACTAAGAAGACAAATACAGATGAGTGTATGTTGCAAAGTAGAGTTTATCAGAACTCAAAAATGATCAAGATTATCTTAGCAGAGGGGCTTCCAAAGTTGTTGTCCCTGGGTCGGGTCCAAAGCTGATTGTGATTACTTAAGAGCTTGTTTGGAATCACTTAAATAAGTACTTATAAGTTTGTTTTACATAAGTTAAAACAAAATTCTTATCACATACGATATCTTGTATTTTGTAAATCATGATTAAAAAGTTAGAAGGGTTGGAAATGGTAACTTGCCAATAAATTATTGATTACATTTTAATTGCAAGTGCTTCGTAATTATATTTGAATCATAGAGTTTACTTTTTCAAATGACACGGGGGAGCTAACTAGGTGGGTTATGCTTCTAATCCAATCTATGAAATTTGTAAACTTCGATGGTGAAAATAAAAAAGCACAAGAAATTTGTAGAGTTACGTTTTATAAACAGCATGTTTATTTTTTTAATATATTCTATACTTTATTTTCCATCCATTCTGTTTTTTTTATAAGATATATTTACTTATTTTATACAAGTTAATAAAATGAGTTAAAATTAAGTGACTAACTGATACTCCTCCAATTATTAATATAGGACTCAATTATTGAGTTGGTTTTAGTCTAAATATAAGACCCATTTATCATATTTATCAATAATCTCTAAATTACCCTATTGATACTCTCTCAACCATAATCAAGCAGAAGAGGGAGAGGGGTATTGAGAAAGATGATTATGGTGTTTTAGGAAAAACGTGTCATATTTATTACAATTAACTAACTTACCTAATTTCCTTAATCCAATTAAATTAGTTAAATTGGTCTTATATTAAGGATCGGAGGAGTATCTACTTAATTATTTGATTTTATTCATTTGTATCTTTAATTGATGCACTCATTTACCTTCTATGCATGGGCCATGGAGAATGTTGCTAATTTATTAACAGTTCGGACAAGTCATTTAAATAATCTCTTAAGGCACTTTATTTTTTAAAAAATATATTTGTTTCTCGCAGATACTTGTAAAATGTTTTATAAATAGGGATATCCAAACATTAACCAGAATGAAGAATGTGTACAAGTGAAAGACAAAGCACCACTCTCACTTTTGTACGTCTGACCTTCATTGACTTCGAATTGTCCTTAATTTCACTCACATATTCACTAAAATTCCAAACAAAAAATTAGGGAAAATTATAGTAAATTACGAAATTGACAAATTAATTATTAAGAATGTCATGGAATTCACCGTTCACATGGCGGAAATTTACCCTCAAACTACAAATATTTATCATTCACATAATACAAATTTATAAATAATAAATATTCAACACTATATACGCTACTCAAGCCACAAACTTAGAAGTGGAATGATGAGTGCTCATAATTAGCTGCTCTAGAAATAAAAAAATTCGTGAATTTGGTCTTTAAGCATAATTCAATATAAGGCTCCAAATTCTTGAGTGATTGTTCTTTAATTATATACAATATATTTATGTATACGTGCAGATATCTTTCATCTTGTACATAGTCGAAGATAGATTGTGTATAATTGAAGAAGAGTTGTGCTCGTTAGAAAAAAATAAGTGCACCTAAATTTTTGAATAAATTTCAGATACTTTTGCACAATTAATTTTCTAATTTGTCAGGGACTTTTAAGCAATTTCCCAAAAACAAAACTCATAAAATTTAAAATTTTAAAATGTATATTCCTTTCTGTTCTTTTTATTAGACTCTATTAGTAGTTTTCATAAGACTAAGAAAACTAGTTAGAAGTAGTTAAATGTAAACAATTTTAGTAGATTTTCAAACCAACCTTTTGATTGGCATAATTGATTCCGGGGGAGGTAAAGATGATGAAAACAAAATCAGAAAACCAAAAATAAGAATGAAAAAGATAATTTGACAAATAAGAGTCTAGCCTCAACTTTAAAATACTTTTTTGGGTAATGTGACCTGTTTAGGAATTTCACAAATTTAATTACCCAAATAAAAATTTAGATTATTTAAGTATCTTTTTAAAGAATTTTTTTTAAAAATCAAGAGTGAAAAAGATAAAAGTATTTTATTTTTAAAAAAATACGTCATAAATGTTTTATTAAATTGTGTGAAGGGTTTTATATTAAAAATCAATAGTTAGGATCTTATAAACAGAAACGGAGGGAGGGAAACGGACTGAAAATGAGATCCTCACAATCACGACATGGGCGTGGAACCCATGTAAATCCGTGTCATATTGCCCAGAAATATAGTCTGACCAGAGTTTGATATTTCTAAGCGCAAAAAAATAGTAACCCACGAATCTTAAACCGCAATCTATGAATTTTAAGTATACCACAAGTGATAAACACGAAAATTTCTGCATGATCAAGATGAACAAAATAATTAAAATTGCTTAAACATTAGTGTTGCCATTATCTTTAGAACTTATTTACAGGTCCTTGAGGCTAAACCCTCACCAAACCAAAAGGCTTCTTCTTTCTCCGCATACTCATGGCATTTCGAAAACGTAGGACCCATGGCTTGTTTGGCATAAAAGAAAGCTATTAATGTCCGAATGAGCACGGAGAAAAAAAAAATACTCCCAAAAAAAAGGAGAGACAGATCACATCAATCTTCCTTATCTTTTCCGATGATGGGGTGAATCTATGGTTTGGATTTGTTGAGCTATTTTGGCCCTTCGCTAGAGATATGAATGGATATACCACCATGAGGCTCTCATTTGTTTGCTTATGATAAGAAGCTAACCAAAATATCTAACTCTCTCTCATCATGCACTTTTTTAAACTGCTCTTTAATTTTCTTAATTTTGTTTGGTTTCTTCCTTATTCCTTTCTCTGTTTTGTCCACAGCTTAAGCTGTATCTACAGATCAAGAACAACAGCATGCATCACACTCACCAACATCCCCTTCTTTGTTTTTATTGCCACCCACATTCCTATATTAGGATGGTACTAATCTCCCCCCCCCCCCAGCCCTTCTCCTTCTCTTCCATGTTTCAAAACTACACTTGCTGAAAATGTTATGAACCTAACTTTCATGCATGAAAATAATGTGCAGGTTCAACATCTTATTGAGAGATGCTTGCTTCTTCATATGAGTCAGGATCAGTGCATTAAGGCACTAGAAGAGCATGCCAGCATCAGCCCACTTGTGACACTTACAGGTACTACTCAGCATACTCGTTTTTGTGTGTGCGCGCGAGTGTTTTTCGTGGAAGTTTGCCTTCTGGTTCAAGTAAAGTTTGTTCCTTTCTGTGCAGTGTGGAAGGAGTTACAGAAGGAGAATAAAGACTTCTTCAGGGCATATTATTCACAGAATTTCTCTCCCAGGCCTGTCAATGGAAAAGACATTACTGTATTTTCTTATCTTCTAGAAGGATCTTTAATTTCAAGCCTTCCATGAGTGCATTACTGATGCGCTTTCACCTAGCTATTTATTCTTCTGTATTTACATGTCTTTGATAATATTGAGTAGACGAGTTGGAAGTGGTCTTTGACAATATTGATACTCGACTTCATATTCTATTTTCCAGGCAGAAGTTTTCAAATGGAACCAAGATTACCAACAAGGACACAGTGGAAATATTTGAATTTGGGGGGTATCACTGCGTAATCCTATGTTTACTAAAATGCATCAGGAACTCTGTTACCGGTTACTGTCAAGTTCAAGAAGGATCGGGGTCGAATGCTCATAAATTACCAGCTAGAGTGATCATTACTGGTTGTGATAAGCAAGTTCAAGAAGAAGGACCAGGGTTAAATGCTTATAAAATACTAGCTAGAGTGAGGATTGCTGATTGTGATAAGCAAGTTGTATTAGAATCTTCTGTATCTGCCTCTTTGTATATTTGTGTGCTTGTTTGTATTACCTTGCTATATATAGAGACTGAGGTTTTTTAACACAGCCTTGTACTTTTCAAATTACCAAGTCGGGTCTATATATATAGATTAAGATAGTGTAGAGGCATATTCAATATCTGACTACTTTGAAAACCAAGCATATATTCTAACCATAAACCAACCTCTGGGTCCTCCAGACTAATGGAGCTTGAAGCATGAATACAAGAAGTGAGGAAAATAAAAGCTATTAACTATAGTTATCATGAACTGTCCAAAAGCTACGGTTTTCACTCCCAAGAGCATCTTTCTGCGGAAGGAAAAGGATTTAGAGACTACTTTTAATGCCAAGACAAAGAAACAGCTAGATTTCTTTATTTCTTGATCACTCAAAGGGTGTCCTTGCCCAGATGGAATTCCTTGGAACCTTTCTTTCACGGAAACCTTGGCCTTCTTCTTCTTCTTCTTTAGCCTGATCCAAAGTTTCACACGTCAAGTCATTCACTCATTCCAAAGGCGTCATGCACTAGCGCAGAAACATGGCAGGTTTAAAGTTATCTAATCCAAAGTGTATATGTCAACCTTTTAAAAATTATGATAACATGCCCAGGAAAGTTATTGGAAAGTGACTACTAACACACATTCCAAGAATTTCATATTATGTTGTCTTATCTAGGAATGTTTTGTTTCTGCCATTGACTCGTTGTGGTAAAATAGTATCAGAGTCAACTTAAGTGTATCTTAACTAATTAACTTTGGTCCATTGAAAGATAAGCTAGGGAGCCTGACCCTAATACGACATAGCTAAGATTTGAAATTGAAACAATGTGATTAATCATACGTCATATAGCATATACTCACTTCTACCATTAAACCAGTCCTTCCAAATCGAACATCTGATAAAGCACCTTCTCTACTGATTGCTAGCTTGAACTTTCTAAAGCAATTTGTTTCGGTCACAATGAGTGCAACTTGACTGGATTCATGAGTCTACTAGTCAAATTTCAGTATGTTACAAAGTAATGATGGTTTTACCTCAGCATCTTCATGAGGGTCCAAATGGGAGTCAAGATCGACAAGGTGCTCTGTCTGGCTGCAACTTTCTTCATCTCCTTTGCAAGCCCACTGAAAATAAGAAAAGAGTTCAGATCTTAAGTTCTCAATATAATAGTAGTAGTAGTAAATATCATAGTCATAATCATAATCTAATGAGCTACTGAGGCTTTTCAACTCCTGAAACATGCATTTTTTGCAGCTGTGCTAAAAGCTTCTTTGTGAGCCATATCTGGGTTTTCAGCCTTTAGCCTTCTGATCTCTTCTCTGCATCCATGCAAAGCAATTTCATGATTTGAACTTCATGTTTTAATTAAACAAGACAACTTATATAGTGAAATGTTACTTGATGAAGCGGTTATAAGCTGAAGGTGTTCTCTGTCTCTTCTCTGGGGCTGTTAAGAGAGTAGTCATTAGTTATAAAATTGATGAATCAACAAAAGATGACTAAGTTTACTATAATCTTACGTACGTTTATGTGCCACAATGCTCATGGGAATTGCGTCCTCTTCTTCACAATCAGAACAGGTCATCATGGATCCTCCATTATGGTTATGGCTGTCCAAAGTCTTGTTTGCTTCTTCTTCTGGACTCCCCTCTTTTGGCTGCAAACATTGAAAGGAGAAGTCAACTTGGATTGCAAAAAGTGAACTTAGCAACAAACTATTGAGCCTAACTTTCTTTTTCTCTGAGACTACCGTATACCTGAAGATGAGTAAAGGAGGCTAAAAGGTGCAAGGGGACAAAAGAGGCTTTCATCATATTAACAGAGAGGAGGCTTGTGCAATGTCCACATCTGACTGTCACCACCATAGACAAACTGCTGCATGGGACGCTCACCTGCATCAGCTCAAGATTGAATTGAAAACAGAAAATGCAAAGTGGAAGAAGGAAGTTAACAATTAGAAGATACAAGAAAATGAATCAGATTCTTAAAGACCAGACTACTCATTTACCATTAAAATGGTGGCACAGAATCCACATTGAATGTAACATATTTGCTCTGGAACCCCAAAAAGATGGTTCAATGTTGACATGAGTGCAAGAGCTGGGTTTGAATGCGAGAAAGAAAGAGAGACACTGAAGAAAATGAATCCAGTTTTTGACACAAGGAAGCTTTTATAGTTGAAAATAGGGCCTGCTTGATTTCATCAAGCAAATAAATTTCATTTCTAATATAAAAAAAATGAGCGACATGATATTTACTATGTTATAATGATCATGACATAATCTTTTTATTTCTTACTAGCATGTCAACTGCATCTTTTAATTAGAGCTCTTATCCTGGATATATTTATAAGCCTTTCATGATTAGCTTGGTTTTTTTCTATCATTTATAAATTGAGTCTGCCTATAGAATTGAGTCTGCCTATAGAATATTTAAGTATTGGAATTCAAATTATAGTTGAATTGCTGAGAAGAGTCTGAGACTTTGCAAGCTTCTTGTGTAGATTGAAGTGGCCCAAAGTTCTATGGTACTTTGCAGAATGAGTTAAAAGTACTAGTTTGTTTCATGTGTTGTTTTCTCTTTTATTGACACTCCTGCCTCGTCTAAGCCCTCTCTCTCTCTTTCTGTCTCTGATGAAAGTGAAAGTGTAGAAATTGGAGGGAAGTGCAAGTCATAGAAGGGTTGCATTGGGAAGGCAAAGTGGAATCTTAGGATTTGTCTTTCCTTAAAGATAGCAAATACAATTGACCATTGAAACAGAACCACCCCCACTTTCTGTGCTCCCTTGCTGTCTGTCACTTTCCATCTCTTTTTGTTTCACATTGAGTTCCAATGCTACTTCCTACCTTAACCCCTTCAAATGCTGTTCCTCACGGACGTAAATATGAAAATAAGAGACACTTTACTGCTTCAGCATCTTGTAAGTGTATAAGAATTTTTTTTTAAATACAGATATTTTAAAAATAGAACTGTATTTATGTTGGACACGTGTCAAACACTTAACTTTTGTCATATGCATTGACAAGGGACAATTTGAAAAGTGATCACTTTCCTCATTGTGTTACTGCACAAGGAAACGTTGGGAACCCTATTACTACTGTAAGGCCATGTTCCGTTATTCAGGTGTGAATAAGACTAGTTCCTACCAAGAAGGACCAAATTTGTGAAAATAATTTGCTCTTGTTAAATACAATGGTCATGTCTTACGGACAAAGCAAGTGAAAGTTGTATCCGTGAGCTGTAGAAATTAAATTAAGACCTGCAAATATACTTCTTTGTGGCTACTTTGTTTTAGGGTCATCTTTGCAGAATAAGAAGTGCTCCAATTTATTATCCCTTTTTCTTAAGTAACTCTTGATTGCTTCAAGAGTAAAACTCTATTTTTTTGATACCCAATGATAACCCCAACATCATTTGGCACACTCAAAAAATCTTTGTATCAGTACTTAAAAGATAGCTTAATATCATTTGGCATCTCTAAATAATGATGAAATTGGAACCAACTTAGGTTGATGTGTGGCAGATAATCTCATTCCTCAAGCAAATGATTAGAAGTTTTAAAGAAGGAAGTTAACAATTAGAAGATACAAGAAAATGAATCAGATTCTTAAAGACCAGACTACTCATTTACCATTAAAATGGTGGCACAGAATCCACATTGAATGTAACATATTTGCTCTGGAACCCCAAAAAGATGGTTCAATGTTGACATGAGTGCAAGAGCTGGGTTTGAATGCGAGAAAGAAAGAGAGACACTGAAGAAAATGAATCCAGTTTTTGACACAAGGAAGCTTTTATAGTTGAAAATAGGGCCTGCTTGATTTCATCAAGCAAATAAATTTCATTTCTAATATAAAAAATGAGCGACATGATATTTACTATGTTATAATGATCATGACATAATCTTTTTATTTCTTACTAGCATGTCAACTGCATCTTTTTAATAGAGCTTATCCTGGATATATTTATAAGCCTCTTCATGATTAGCTTGGTTTTTTTCTATCATTTATAAATTGAGTCTGCCTATAGAATATTTAAGTATTGGAATTCAAATTATAGTTGAATTGCTGAGAAGAGTCTGAGACTTTGCAAGCTTCTTGTGTAGATTGAAGTGGCCCAAAGTTCTATGGTACTTTGCAGAATGAGTTAAAAGTACTAGTTTGTTTCATGTGTTGTTTTCTCTTTTATTGACACTCCTGCCTCGTCTAAGCCCTCTCTCTCTCTTTCTGTCTCTGATGAAAGTGAAAGTGTAGAAATTGGAGGGAAGTGCAAGTCATAGAAGGGTTGCATTGGGAAGGCAAAGTGGAATCTTAGGATTTGTCTTTCCTTAAAGATAGCAAATACAATTGACCATTGAAACAGAACCACCCCCACTTTCTGTGCTCCCTTGCTGTCTGTCACTTTCCATCTCTTTTTGTTTCACATTGAGTTCCAATGCTACTTCCTACCTTAACCCCTTCAAATGCTGTTCCTCACGGACGTAAATATGAAATAAGAGACACTTTACTGCTTCAGCATCTTGTAAGTGTATAAGAATTTTTTTTAAATACAGATATTTTAAAAATAGAACTGTATTTATGTTGGACACGTGTCAAACACTTAACTTTTGTCATATGCATTGACAAGGGACAATTTGAAAAGTGATCACTTTCCTCATTGTGTTACTGCACAAGGAAACGTTGGGAACCCTATTACTACTGTAAGGCCATGTTCCGTTATTCAGGTGTGAATAAGACTAGTTCCTACCAAGAAGGACCAAATTTGTGAAAATAATTTGCTCTTGTTAAATACAATGGTCATGTCTTACGGACAAAGCAAGTGAAAGTTGTATCCGTGAGCTGTAGAAATTAAATTAAGACCTGCAAATATACTTCTTTGTGGCTACTTTGTTTTTAGGGTCATCTTTGCAGAATAAGAAGTGCTCCAATTTATTATCCCTTTTTCTTAAGTAACTCTTGATTGCTTCGAGAGTAAAACTCTATTTTTTTGATACCCAATGATAACCCCAACATCATTTGGCACACTCAAAAAATCTTTGTATCAGTACTTAAAAGATAGCTTAATATCATTTGGCATCTCTAAATAATGATGAAATTGGAACCAACTTAGGTTGATGTGAGTGGCAGATAATCTCATTCCTCAAGCAAATGATTAGAAGTTTTATTTTTAACACCTGTGTGCGAATCAAACCTAATTGAAATGTTCATGACCCCAAAAAATTGATGACATTGGAACAAAATTAGACACTTGGATACAAAAAGCAATGCAAGATGGAAAAGCCAAATGAGGATTCAGTCTTATTTAAATATTGGCCTTACTTGCTACTTATGTGCGATGAGGAGCATGAAAAAATTGAAGAAGTTGCAATAAGAAGCTTCTTTCCCCAATAGCATCTATCTGAAGATGGTAAAATTTTAATGGCCAATGAAAGAGAAGAAGCATCTGATTTTGGTAGAGAACCACATGGAGAAACACAACTCAAAAGCTGTGTTTTTGCACAAAGAGAAAGTCAGTCTTGGATTGGAGTCTTTTTTTGACTCACAGAAAATTTTGCTTTCTACATGAACCTGAGAAAACTGTGAAACGGAAAGCAATGCAAGCCATATGAGGGCATAAATTGCTATCTAGAAGTAAAGTAATTTAAGATTGAAGAAAACACATCAGAACACAGAAGCCTTGTATTGGTTATGTCATTAATTATGAGATGTAGAAGTTCATGATCAAGAAAGGGACCAAGAGTTTGAAGTGAGATGGGTGAGAGTCCAATATCAGATCATTAATCGTTGTAGGGTATGACACAAAGATGTGTCGCTTTTATCAATTTAAAGTCAGACCAAAAGTTTTCACCTACTCTGTCTGCAGTTACTCCTCACTTCCACAGCACAAAACATAAGTATTAGGCGTTCAAAAACACGATTGATATTCTTTTCACGGAAATGCCTAACTTTTTTCTTTTTCTTTTCCCCCCCCCCCCCCTTTGAGCCTTCAAATCCCATGTTCTCACATTTGTCACACCCATCCATGCTATGCTTAGCACCGGTATTTAACTCAGTCTATCTATAAATCACAAATAGCTTGACCCATTTCCTGATTTACGTGTAATGGTGGGTCAGAAATTATTTTTGTGTGGGAGCGTAATATAAATTTAACTACATACTTCATATAATTAAGCGCTTCGTTTCAATATATAAGACCCTTTTTTTTTTTTTAACAAACTGTGGAGATTAATAAACTTCATTAAATATAGTTAGAAACACTATTTTTAAAAAGGAACTATAAACTTAAAAATGCCCTTCATTTAATATTAACTCCTAACCAACTCAGACTTAATTAATAAAGGGTATTTTCGGAATAAAGTCATTACAAGATCAATATTTTTTTTTATATAAAACATGAAACCACTCCAAAAAAAATTGTCTCAAATCAAAATGGAGGGTTTGTCCAAAAAAAAAAAATTCAAAATTGAGGGAGTATAATTCATTGCAAGAATTTGAGAGGGGCATTCCGTTCTCCACACATGTATATAGGCATGTTGGGTCTACAAATTTTCCCATACTTACGACGAAGAATCCATTCCTAGTTTATTACACTACAATGCCATGTTTGTACTTTGTAAGGAGAAAATGGCGTATAAAATGAAAATTGTAAATGAAACTTATTTCTCCTTTTTACACTATCACTTATATCTATATATATATATATATATATATATATTTCACACCTATCAAAAGTGAATCTTCCCTGGGATCAATTAATATCTTAGCTGTTATGTAAACAGACAAATTTTTTTCCTTTTTTTTTTTTTGTTTGAGGAGGGAAAGGGTAAGAATGAACTCTCCCAAGTAGCCATGAGAATGATATTTTGTTGTCCCAATCAACCATCGACGAATGCGTGTTAATTTTAATTTACACAACAAGCAAAATAAAACAACTTCATTGCTTCGTTGACTAACTTCAGTCTCCAGCTATTTGGACGAGGAAATCTTGAGTTTCTTTGGCACAAGGCCAACAATACCAATCCTTGCAGAGCGAAATGAAAATCTTTCATGCTGCTACAATCATTTTACGGCCAACGGAGATTCATTTTGC